TACATAAAACACTTAACAAATTCATATTAAAAATAAAACCTAACACAACTACAGTCATTTAGCACTAATGCCCAGTTCAGACAAAAGATTCACAACGAGACAGGCTTAAACTACTGGTGCAACACTGAAACCCTGCCAGTTCACACCAATACGACAAGACAATGCATCTTCTCAATAGCAACGAAGCTCTGTACTAACTAACTGCTAGATTTTCAAGCTTTTTTTGAAGCTGGATATCATTTGTAGCGTCCTAAAACATAAAATGAGAATAGTGATTTGCTACAGTTGCATTCTTTTTGATGAAACAATGAAAAAATAAAATGAGAGTGACTTTTAAGCGACTTAACCAGCTGACTTGGCAAAAAACCGATTGGCTGTTGAAACAGGTGACGTGCTTTACATTCTAAAACCAGCCACTAAAGATTTGACAAGCTGAGGTGTACACAACGCCATCAGCCAGCTTGAGTTGACCTGAGACAACCACACTGCTGCAACTCTTTTACCTGCAATGTTCCAAAACCTGTTTATCTCGTCTTGAATCTCTGATCAACACTGGGCTTAAATAACCCCAGCTTAAAATTTCAGCAATTCTTCAGCAGAAATATGATCATATTTGCTGCTGTTTATAACTATGCGTCCAACCAGCTACACTCAAGACCGTTTAGTTCGTCATTTTAATGTGTTCAAGGTAGCTACTGGCTAACAGTAGGCTACCTGCTGCCAGAGCCAAGTAGAGAAAGAGTTGTGGTATCTGTTACTAGCAATATGACGTGTGTTGATGCCTCTGTTGCCTGTAACATCCACACCACAGAGTAACGGCAGCTCAGGTAATGTAATGAGGCATCAACATCAGCATTGTGATTCAGTCTGGTAGATACCAGTTGTATAGAACCATATTGGCACTGTGTTGTGATACCCAAACCTGCTGCCAAGATGGCGACGGCCCTAGCCATCACACTTTGAACGGTTCTGAGCTCAGCAGCCCCACTTTCCCCAGCACCTTGGTGACAGCGGGCAACAGTTGGTCTTTAAAGACCCACAGTCGGGTGTCCACATGGAGCTGCTCCACTGGCCGTAGTGTCGGGGTACTGATTGGGCTGTGAATGATCCGACAGATGTCCGGTGGAACCTTGAATGCTTGTCCAAACATCTTGAGCACTTCATGTACTGAGGTCTGCTCCACTGACCTGTGATACACATAAACATTCACACATGAACCTCAAAATATCTGTAGTCCATGTACCGTATTCATCCACATTATGAGTGTGTGAGCCTTGAGGAAAAGCCAATAACATTCTGAGAAGTAAGCCTACTTTGGTTGAATTATCAACTTGTGGGGGTGGTATATCTTTCTGTCGGGCTCCTCCCTGTAGATGTGCTCCAGGATATTAAAGCCGGGCACTCCTTTCCATTGAGGCAGGGGCCCCCTTTTACTTTCCTCAAAGGGTTTCTTGGGAAAGATGTGGTTCTCAATGAGGAACACCCCCTTCTGCATAATGGTTCAATGGGTGCAGCATAAATGTTGGAAAGAAAATATATAAAGAGTTTAATAACTAATAAATAAGTTTGTGTAAAATGTTGTGTTATTCTGAAATTCACACACAAAATTACCCTACATTTGGATGCTGCTGTTGGAGCATGTTCATCAGAGACATCAAGTTGTTGTGTTGGTATGGCATTATAATCTCATCTATGTCGTTCAGCAGGACGTAGCGGGACCGGTCCATGGATCTGTAAATGCACTCATTGAGAGTGGCCAGCTGGCCAAAATAGTGCACGTCCCCTCCATACTTGGAGAAGAGCCAGCCACTCGATGGATTCAGATGCTTGTCGATGGGCCAAGGAACCATCTCCACAAAGCCCTCCTGGACGTAGCTCTGCAACAGGTGGTTGAGGTCTGGGCCGCAGCTGGTGTTATAGATCACCACTCTGTCCACACCCAGCAATCTGTAATGTGAGGCAACGGTTAAAATGTATCACTGATAGATATCATCCAAAACTGGGAGTGTATCTCTTTTGAACAAATGACTAAAAGCATGTTCAATGCGGCAGTGGTTGATGAGATGTGGCCTGACTTCACTAAACAAGTCTACCAAGTTTAATTGTACAGACAGATGCTATGTCATGCCTGATTCCAGCACACATACAACAATATTTCCATACACCATGGTGCCGCACACCACCACAACCTCCACATATAAATGCATAAATGAATTCACAACTAGTAAACAGCAATATCTGTTGTGGCCCTGAATATAGTGCCTTTTGAAGCTTGTAATTGTTTAAGGAACTGTCTGACATTTTGGAATTTGCTTTCTTGCCAGTAGTTAGATCAGATCAGAAGATAACTGGCGCATTGCTACTATATATGCCTTGTAAATTAGTAGTCTGTAATCTACAGCATGTGTGCACACTTCTAAAGCACATCATTGTAGTCACTTCTTCTCAACGCCTGTTACATATATTTAGGATGCCATGTTAGTGGAAGCACATTTACATCCAAAGATGCAGTTTTTTACATACAGTGTCAGTGGGACAGTGATTTGACATTTTTGACATTGTGATTCGGGTGTTGTTGCTGTGCTGACCTGTACATCTCCAGGGTCTGTGCATACTGAAGCACGTTGTTGTAGTCTCCAAACAGGTTGGAGATGCAGACTGTGAAGTTAAGCTGCAACTTTCCCCCCTTGTTCCCCTCAGTCTTTTTGTTTCTTATAGGAAGCCAAGTTTGGTTAAATACCCTCTGCCTGTCTGGCTCAGTCTGAGTCAGAAGAGTAACATGTGTGGCATTGCAGTTTTGAGGAATCTGACACATGACATCCGTAGTGACGAAGGGAAAACCAAAGTTGTCTGAGTGTTGTAAAATATTTGTTGGAGTTGTAGTTGATAAGTGGCCCTCACAGCAGAAAAGACAGTAAAGAGGTTGGATGGAGTCTCTCCTAAATATCCCAATGATGCGTATATCAAAGCCATTCACTCTCTGGTCCATGAAGGCTGACACTAGTAAGTGCTTGGTATTGTTGAGGGGGGTGATGGTCTCCTCAGAGACGCATAAAGGGCAAATCTTTGCAGCCCATCGCAGCTTTGGGATGGACCTGTATATCCTAGGTGTTCTCACAGTGATGAAGTAAATAAGTAAGATGAAGGTAGCAACGAAGAGTAAGAAGAACTTCCTTCTTAATTCTTTTGCCATCCAGCCACCGATGAGATCGATGCCCAACCTGAGGCAGAACAAAGCAAACACACCCTGTTATTACTACAGGGATTATTACAAGAATTACAATAAGAGAGCTGAAAAATTACTTTATAAAGGAAGCTTAGAATATGTTAAGTAAACTCGAGGAACATTGTTATTTTTTTTATTTTTACAAGTAGGCATAGACTTTTGGTTTCACATCAGACACAAGCAGCGGTCTCTTGGCTGAATGTTTGACTGGTCCATCAACCTTAACATAACATTTTTTCTTTCTCTTACATATCTCTCTCATTTGCATGTAAAATGACACCCTGTCACCGCACAATATTAGTCAGTAGAGACTAAATGACATGGAATGATACAGGAAAAGCCAAAAATGTGTTGACATGTACTAAGAGAATAGTCTGCATAACACCTATGTTAAAATCGTTAAAAAGGGACTTACTCATTCTACCTCATTTAAAATATGAAAATATAAAAAATGTGTTCATTCATTCATCACAGATGGCACTCTACAGATGTAGAGTGCCCTTCCCTTTTACGCTCAGTTTAACCTACTGTGGAAAAACCTGATCCCCAACAAGCATTAAGTAATAAGAAACAGGAACAGTACACCTTAACTTAGAATAATATAGTTAATCATTGTCCCAACTTTGCCTAACCACCACATTTATATCAGGGAAGTGAGAAAACTGATCATGAAGTCGTGAAAAATCCGTGTATCATTCGTTCTTTTCATATTCAATTGACATTACAAAATCGGAAAATGAAAAAACGGTTTGTTATT